AACACGATAATGGCCCGAAGCATACTTCCCGTCTCGTGGCCGACTTCCTCCAGTCAAAGGAAATCAACGTTATGGAGTGGCCGAGTCAGAGCTGAGATCTGAATCCTATACAGCACCTTTGGGAAGAGCTAGCACGTCGTACAAGCCAGCTTCCTGTTGGGAATGCCGACGAAAAATTCAATCTATTGTCTAGAGAGTGGGCTCTGATACCACAATCCAAAATTGAAGCCTCAATCGATTCAATGCCAGGAAGATGCAAAGCAGTAGTCGATTCCCTCGGGTATCCCACAAAGTATTGATATTTTGTTCGTAAATTCATGTTACCATGATCAATTTTCCCTGTTATTGTGAAGTTTTCAAACTTTTGAGGCGCCCTTTTCATAATTGTTGGGGCAGGCCGAATGCACTATACCTTCCTCATAAAATGAACTACAGTATATTTGTGTTTAGTAAGAGTGATAGTACATCATGATCACATAAACACATTGCCTATATAAACTCTCATGAGTATGGTCGCATTCACTTTTATCTCGTCTCATGCCTTCGAATGAAGCTGAATAAATAAAGCTTCCACTCAACACGACGAGGACATAACAAATGGCGATCAGGAGTTCCCGATTCACGCCAGTACATCGACGGAAGGAAGAACTCCAGCCAACGAGCTGCAACAAATGATGGCAACACAGCAGAAACTACTGGTCGATCTCCAGCAGAGGATGTCGACGCCAGCGGTTACTCAGCAAGAATCACAGTTCGACCGAATGGCAAGAAGAATCGACAGGTTTTCATACGACCCAGACCAAGACGACTGCTTCACTTTGTGGTATAATCGACACAAGGATATATTCGACATCGATTGCGAAGGAATGGAGGAGAAAGCGGAAACGCGATTGCTCGTTTCCGCCTTGGATGCCGAGGGTCATACTAGATTTTCTCGGCTCATTCTTCCAAAAGAGCCTAGTGAGCTAAACTGGCCAGAAACGCTCGAAGCTCTGAAAACACTTTTTGGAACCAAGAAAAGTTTCTTTCGCCGCCGTTCCGAATGTTTCCGAATGAACTTTTCACCTAATGAAGACATCGACAACTTCGTCAGTTCGCTGAAAGCCCGCGCCTTAGAGGCCAATTTCAAGGGCATCAGACATGAAACCTTAGAATGTCTCGCTCTAGTGTTTGCTTTCCAAGCACCGGAACTGGCCAATTACCGGGTTCGTTTTCTGCGCAGATTAGATGAAGATAAAAAGATCACCATTGACGACTTAGCTAAGGAATATCACGCCTGGAAGTCCGTCAAGGATGATTCCAAAATAGTCGAAGTTTTCAATGCGCCTGAAGTTAGTGCAGTTCGAAAGAAAAAGAGGCACCACCAGTCTCGTACAGCCAAAGCTAGTTCCTCGCCATCACCATGCCCAATTTGTCAGCAGAATCATTGGAAGAAACACTTTCCACAAAACCGTCATGCTACCAGCGCTACTCAGCAGTCTAAGGCTACATCGCAACGCCGCATCAAACAATACTTTCCACGCACTTGGTACCAACGTCTCATCGGTCGTACTGCAGATGTACAAAAGTACCTGAAAGTTCACATCAACGGACATCCTACCCGTCTCCAGTTGGACACGGGTGCCGACGTCACCATCATCTCTCGTCCAAGCTGAATGCAACTTGGAGGTCCGCAGCTACAGAAGACATCCGACACACTCAGGGGAGCCAACCGTTTGCCACTACGAATCTACGGAAAATTCGATGCTGCTTTCGTGGTCTTTGACAACCGGGGAAAGGCTCATCCCGGACAAGGGGTATGTTGTGTCTCTGATGACAACGATCTGCTCGGAATCACCTGGATTGAGGAAATTCCGGATTTCAACTTGGTCCTGAAAAGATTCAACGTCCGTAAGATCCAGACGCTCAACCACGACGCGCTCCGAGACCAGACAATCACAAAACTGAGACTGATTTCGCGAGTGTCTTCGAACCTGGACTTGGATGCTGCCTGAAGGCTAAGGCAACCCTCCAACTCAGGCCCGATACTCACCCAGTTTTCATCAAGAAAAGACCAGTCCCATACGCTTCTCTACCCCTCCTAGACGCTGAGATTGACCGTCTTGTCGCGCAAAACGTCATCTTTCCCGTCGACCACTCACTATGGGCTGCGCCAATCGTTGTTGTGAGAAAAGCCAACGGACCATACGACTCTGCGCCGATTTCTCGACTGGACTCAACGACGCATTGCTTTTGCATAGACATTCGCTACCAATTGCAGAGAATGTGTTCACCAAGCTCAATGGCGGAACCGTCTTTTCCCAGATTGACTTCGCCGATGCATACCTACAGATAGAAGTCGATGACAATTCTAAGGAACTCCTCACCATCAATACACATCGAGGACTCTACCGCTATAAT